AGAAGATTAACTGTTAGTGGAGATGCTCAACGAATTGAGCATTCGGGCTTCAGACGGGTATTTTGGCGCATCCTTGGCTGACCACTTTGTTCCACTGCGATTCGGATGCTTACAACTATGGCACTTGCTCAGGAGCAAAACCCACTAATAACCATTGTATGCAGAGGCAAGTTACTCACATCAATAGGAAGCCTACCCAAGGTGGACCACCCATAGGTGGGGACAGGCCTATAACGCCTGTATCATAAGTTCTGATGGATCCCGATTCATTGATTATTAATACTTTTAAGCTAGGTGGATATAATCGTGCGTTAATAATTCACATTTTCGAATTTCTTCCACAAATTCATATTACATACTCTTATATTCTCAGCATGTGTCCCTCTTATGCGTTGCTTCCCACTTCTCAATTCTAAACGCCCCCCATCACCCCACTTCTACTCTTTTCAACGCATTCCTAAACCTACATCGTGCGTAATTTCATCACGTTTTCTTGCACTTCTTGCAGTTAGGCAATTTGTGCACTCACGCAGTTCGTGCAAATTTTTAATTATCTGGCGGTCGTAAAAGTAACTCGGTCTAAGACCGCCCTGGAATTACAATTGCGGGGTGCAAGGTTCGATCCACAGACCTCGCGGACCGCAAGTCGCGGTTGACAATCATGAACATTAATTACTTGACCAAGCAACCTTCTTAGATTATATCGGTTACATTCCATCACTTTGCTTTTTGGCAAAAAGTTTTTGCGCTCCAACCCTTTAGCAGTTACTATTTGCTATGACAACATCCACAACAACAAGAACAATCAAGAATCTTTACATGGAACTTGCCCTGTCTGCAATCAAACCTTGCAGACAACTATCATGATTACCACCAACATTGCTCGATTATGAACAACAATTATTTACGGCTATTGCATTACCATCTAACACTGTTGTCCACTAACAGGAAAAAATTAAAGAAAATAAAAACGAATACAACGAAATGAAAAATTAACGAATTAAGAAAAGTAGATTTCAGTTCATCAGTAGTAAAGTAGCACCAGGAGCGGCAACTTATCTATCACAGGCACCCAAGAGGTTGCTTTCCTATCAGGGACGTGCCTAGCCACACACCACTAACACGGCCATTACCGTCCAAAGTAGCAAGAGTTCCAACCCAAAGTAGCTGCTTGGATTGCCTCACGGGTTTACGTCTGTGGTAATTGAGCTTACCACCTACCACCATCTCATCGCACTGTATATTGTTTGATTGCTGTACCTGTGACGTATTGAAGAGGCCACAAGCTTGGCGTGCTACTTGCAACCACCGAGTTCAAGTTCCACTGAGTCCGAACAAGTTTCGCTTCGCGAGGACACACCGAGTTCAGAGACGATGTCCTTAGGCCGTCGACCGACGGCGATGAGGGATAAGATGCTTACCATCATTGCAAATGATAGAGTAGTTCTTGACCATATCCCGGATTTCACAGGAGTATCAGTGACAGGACACTCAGAGTTGCTACATCTGAGATACCAAACGCGAAGGCCGCTTTTGGTGGTTTCCGAGTAACGTCGTCGGAGCAATCCACAGCTGCATAATAGGTGCGTACTCAAGAGCTTATGAGCTTGCAGCCACTCGAGGAGAGGCTCCTCTTCGAGGAGCGGGATGAGCCTGGTTGGAGAGAAGGTTCATAGACATTTGAAGTCAGGGGCCCTGACTCAGGGCAACCTGTGCACGCCAGGAAATTTACCACAAGGCTTGGTCAACCAGCTCACAGACGGCCAGCTGATTGCGAGTGACAGCAGGCATGGAAGTGGTGGGTAGGTGGCTGAGAAGGTAACGGGTATGAAATGATGACATGAGGTCACCTGAGGTGCCCGGGAGGTTCTGCCAGGATTGGAGTTTTCGGGCACTGAAATCCCGTGGAACAGAAGAAGAAGTCAGCTGTGGAATGGAGACTTGCATAAGAACAATAGTATTATACAATCTAATGTACCACTATTATTCGTTATCATTATTTCATTCTTTCAACCCTTCTTTCTTGACCATCACAAGGCTGCCGTCTGAGGAAGTCTGCCAAATGCGGCAAGAACAAAAACATCTACCACAACATCATTATCACGCGTACCCCCACCGCGAGGACTATCAACAGTATTATCACCAATAACACCACTACTAAAACCAGACCAGAGGCCCTCTGGCAGAGGGCGACCACTAATACAACGACAACCACGCACGGCGACTACAAACAACCAACAGCACCAACAACAACAAGAACGACGACGACACCCACCACCACTACAAGAAGAAACAACAACCCAATTACAGGTACTACTACAACATCGACCGCAAGCGTGATTACTACCAACATTGCCTGAACAACGACCTCAACTACAATACTACAGTCACAATCAGCACCACAAGCACATCAATCCCCATTGCAACGAGAACCACGGCACCGACCACCATCAGAAGAACAAACAACATTCCAAAACATAACGACTACTACAACTTCGACCTACTATTATTCCGCACTCTGGAGTCCACACTCTACTTCCGGAACGAACCAATTGCAAAAATACTCAAATTGCAGGAAGTGCATGACAACTTTGCCCTCCGTAGGAGCTACAGATCCCCCGGAGCGAAGCGACGGGATCTGCTAGTATTACTAAACCTACTCCTAGTAGCAGGCAAGTTGAGGTATAACACAGCCTTATTGCGCGATCTCCCCAAAAGTCGAGGAATGAGGGAGTCGACGTGGTACCCACGAGCCCCGAATTAACCTCAGAAGTGACCTTAACCGACTCAGGCGGATGCTTTTGCCTCAAGGAAGGACTCGGAAATACGTGTGAACATAACAACGGTGCTCAGATATATCGATTACTAGGGCGCGCGCTACTTTCATTGATAGTGGTCGGATGGTTTTGCCATTGTAACTTGCCGTAGTACAACATGTCGTCAACAGCGGACCTTTGCGGCACTTATCAGCTGAAGAACGAGGACCACACTCTGGGTAACTCCGTACGATATGTCCTTGCTAAGAAGTAAGATTTGGAAAAAATATTTTCGCTGTAAAAAATATTTTTGCCCACTAGCGCCCTTGGCGAGCTAATTTCGTCGCTTAGGGGAATCTTGCGGTGAACATGAGTTACTTTTCAGTCCCAAGGTTGATTTCGCGGGGTATTCCGTCCCTCACCCCAACGAGCCCTTCGTGAATGTAAAAGTCTTCTATCGGACCTGTTTTGCATCTTTGTGCAATCAACCTTAGATACGTGTTCAGACCTACCCTGGCATGACGGCTGATGAGTCTATGATCTGGGCTCTAGAGGAGTTGGATGTCATGTTCAATACCATTCAAAAGAAGTAATCTTCTCAGA